GCCCAAACAAAATCACACAGAAAACACGAGTTTTTGCACCTCGACCACGCCAATCCCCGCAGAGGGTCGATTTTCGTAGAGTGTCGTCAGCACTACCCCGCCGCCCTAAGAAGAGATTTTAACTCCTCGCAAGTCAATTGCACTTGACTCCTTGCGCTTGCAACTTGCACTTGACTCCTTGCACTTGCAACTTGCACTTGACTCCATGCGCTTGCAAGTTGCACTTGACTCCATGCGCTTGCAACTTGCGCTTGACTCCTTGCACTTGCAGCTTGTACTTAACTCCGTGCACTTGCAACTTGCACTTGACTCCATGCACTTGGCTCCTTGCAACTTGCAATGACCCTCATGACTCCTTGCAATGACTCCTTGCAATGGCCCCTTGCAATGACTCCTTGCAATGACTCCTTGCAATGACTCCTTGCAACGACTCCTTGATACTGCTTGCAATGACTCCTTGCAATGACTCCTTGCAATGACTTTGATGATGATGATTCCCTGCAATGACACCTTGCAATGACTTTGATGATGGTGATTCCCTGTCCTTGCAATGACTCTCATGAGAACAACTCAAGTGAACCCAGCGGAAGAACCCTTCGCCCTGCTTTCGGGAAAAAGTGCAAAACCTGCCATGACTCTGTCAATCGCTGCTGGTTGCCTGATGGTACCAGCGCAGATCTGTTCCAGCCTCAGAACATCAGCAACTCTGAGCAGTGGACGCTGTTGCAACTTCTTCTTAGTTAGGTACAATCTGCTTGCAAGGCCAGTAACCCTCGCACTCCTGAGTGCCTCGTCGGCGGATTTCAATCCCAGCACAAATTTGCAAAAGGCAACGCTGGCCAAGAACGACTTCAAGAAGGTAGCGCCCACACTCGCGCTGGTCTCCTCAAAGAAACGATATACGACTGCCTCGCAAATAGGAAAAGCATCAAGAGCATGCTCATCACAGAATGCGATGAAGCGCGCCGTTGCATCTGCTCTTGCTGTCAGGGTGTTTGCGCTTTTCGCTGCAAGTGCGTTGACGATCGTGTCATAAAAGCTGCCAGGGGTGACACCCGACGTCTTCTCAATGAAGAAATCACAAGCGACACTAAAATCAAGCGAGCCTCTTTCAAGCACATTGACCCACTTCAAGATTGCAAGCTTACGTTCCTCCGAGAGCTTCTTGTTCCAACTGCTGCACGTTGACACGAGCGAGTTTGGCGCCAAGTGAACCAATCCTAGTCTGGAAATGCGCCTGCTCTGGTTCCACCTTGGAATGGGTTACGGCGAGGTGTCTGACACGCAACGGCCAATTGCTCATCTGGTTCACAGCATGCAAAATTGACTGGTTCCATGGTTGGTTGGGAAAAATGGGTTTTGATACTGCAAGGCATGTTTCATAACCACCGTCCACCTCTTCATCACCACGTTTCCCCCGAGCGACCGGACAGGAAGAGGTCATAGCAACGAGCAATTCGCACTGCTCCAAGAAACCCAGAAATGCAAAAAATATGCCAGGGCCGTCGAAAATGCACGCGGGTCAGAAGGAATGAGGGGCGACGATCACCATCATGATGACGATGGTAAGGGTGATGACTGCGATGACAATCATCATGAGGATGATGCACTCTCTCAAATGAGGGCGCCGAGTTTGGTGTTTTACGGGCGCAAGTTTTGGTTGTTTTGGCATCTGGGCGAAACAACTTTACCTTCCAACCCTCCCAATCTTTTTATAAGAGGTGGGGTCCGAGGTAATTGGTTTTGTGCTTTGACATGAATGTGCATGTTGAGACGCGACATGGTAAAGTTTAAACCTTCAACATGGTGTTTGATGTACTTGAGTTGGTTTGTGTGCCATTTTGGACCCAAGCATGATAGGCCCTGATGTGATGTGACATAAGGCCCGAGAATTTTTGACGCACCGATTTTGACTCGGCTGTCACGGTGTTTTTCACTTGAGCGCTGAGCTGTCATCATGACGGTCACCATCAGCACCATCATCATCCTTGTCATCACCGTCAATCAGGGTCTGTGTTGGGGGGTGGGGTTGGACCCCCCCCTACAGAAAATGGGGGGGTCCAACCCCATTTCATTAGAAAACGGCGGGCCGACCCCATCTTCATAAAACATGCTCAATTTAGAAAAAGGGGGGCCAACCTCGGTCCGACGTGGCGCTGGGTCAACCCCCAATAAAAGAAAATGCGGGGGTCCAACCCCACCATGAAAAAACGAAAGCCGCAGCGTCGTGAAAAGATTGGGAGGTCAACCTCCATTAGGGTCATCGTCATTTCTGTTATAGCGTGTGGCTCCCTTGCAACGTAAACTTTCAGTGAAATACGACATAAAACCCCTCTAATCCCTCTAAACTCAAAAGAGTTGAACATTGGGTATGCCCGAGGACGGCCAAAATGAGACATGTGAACAGGTCGAAGGGATGGGCCCTGACTTTGGAAAAGCATTTGTGTAACCTCGTTTGGTCTTGTTTGGTCTCCCTGTAACCTAACCCACAAAAGGGCACCCTCAAAAAACACGCAACATATCTATACAACATACACATATAGGCATACACATGCATGTGCTTACTTCTAATTGAAGAATTGCATTTTGCGATATTTCTTCCATCCTCGGTGCGGGAGTCACCCAAGGGAATATGCGGATTTTAGAAAATGGGGTCTGCCAACTCGGTCTATTTTAGAAAATGGGGTCAACCAATCCAGACTGAGAAATTTCTAATTTTAGAAAATGGGGGGGGGGGGCAACCTAGAACCCTTCCTGACCAGACCCATTTTCGCTTATTCACCATTTAGAAAATGGAGAGTGCCAACCCCACCATGGGAGGTGACATCCATAGAAAAAACAAGCCCAAAATGGTTCCCCCCCCATTTTCTAATTTAATGTCGAACCCGGCTACCGTCACATGGCGGTCATGTCGTCATCATGATGATGGTCATCGTATCTCTTGCTTCTATGCCTGTGAAGTGTGGCGCTAGGCACGATTGGTGATGCAGAAGATGCTGCGATGATAGTTATCATCACCGTCCTCTTCCTTATCATCATTATCAGTCGCCCTTCTGCATAAACACCCCCCTCGATATGCGGGACAGAGTGCGGGACAAAGTGCGGGACAAAGCGCCGGACAAAGCGCGGGACAAACTGCTGGACAAACAACTGTCCGGCAAGTTGTCCGGGGGGTTTTCCGGAAGGTTGTCCGGAGGGTTGTCCGCGCACTTCGCCAAGATTCATGCTGCAAACCCCCCCTCCCGCAAGAATACTTCCCTCCGAATGGTTTTGAGCGGGTTCCAAGTGGTTCCGAGTGGTTTCCGAGTGGTGTCCGAGCGGTTTCCGAGTGGTTTCCAAGTGGTTGTCCGGGGTTTTAAGCGCGTTTGGACCCAAAATGTGTTTATGCAGAACCGCCTGTGTCAAATTATCAGCACGCTCATCATCATCTCGTACGAAGCAGCGTTGGTAATGTTGAGGATGTTACGATGATAGTTACCATCACAGCCCTCGTCCTTATCATTCTCATGATGATGGTCATCACAGTCATCACCGCTATCATCGTCATGATGGTCATCACCATCCCTTTCTTCACGCGCGTTCCAAGTTTGGCGATACGCAATGGTGCTACGATGACAGTTAGCGTGACAGTCCTCACCCATATCATTCTTATCAGCACGCTCATAATCATCTCGTAAGAGGCAGCGCTGGTCATGCAGAGGATGCTACGGCGATAGTTACCATCGCCTGCTGACTACGATTAACACCATCATGGCGGCATCATCAGCACGCTTATCGTCAGCACGGCGGTCGTCATCAGCACGCTTACCATCGTCATGATGGTCATCATCATCGTTTCCTCAAACATCTCCAAGCGCAGCGTTAGGCACCATTGTTAATGTAGAGGACGCTACCGTGAGAGCTATCATCGCAGTCCTCCTCCCTATCATGATTAGCAGCGTGCTCACCATCATCTCGTATGATGTCGGCATTGGTAATGCTGAGGGTGTTACGATGATAGTTACCATCACAGTCCTCATCCTTCTCATTCTCATGATGATTGCCATCATGATGGTCATCAGCACCTTTATCATCATGATGGTCATCATCATCTCTTTCTTCAATTCAGTTTGAGTGTGGCGTCAGGCACCATTGGTAATGCAGAGGATGCAACAGTGATAGCTACCATGACAGTCCTCACGCTTATCACCATTATCTTGATGCTCATCATCATCTCTTATGAGGGGAATGCAAAGGGTGCTACCATGATAATTATCATCACCGTCATCATCCTTGTCATCATCGTAATGGTCACCATCATCACGCTCATCATAATCATGGTGGTCATCGTCACCGCGCGTAACATCATCACGGCGGCCATATCATCATCTCTTTCTTCATACATTTCAAATGTGGCGTTTGGCGCCATTGGTACTGCACAGGACGCTACGACCATAACTGGTGACTTTGTTCTGAGACGTGGATTTCCTCCAGCCTGGACACGCTGCCCTAATCGCATCCACAAAGCCAGGAAGTCCGAAGATCGCAGATCGGGGCGCTTCCTGGTTTCATGGACGTTGCCTTTCCTCCGTATCATCATTATCAGCACGATCCTCCTCATCTCGAGGTAGCAAGCATTGACACGCTACGATGATAGTTATCATCAGAGTCATCACCCGCGTGATGATTGCAAAGCGAGATGTTGGGATGGACATGGATGAGTTGAAGCCGAAATATGCCCAGACAAGGAAACAAGGAGGAAAGGAAGGGATGAAAGGAATGGGATTTCTAGGCATGGTAGAGCAACAATAAAGGGGTCATGAAAGAAGTGCACGGGAATAACGGCAGGGTGGGGGGGGGAATGACACCAACGAAACCCTGCAGGGAACTTAGAAGGACACGCAGGCGCGGCATTTGAAGGCCAGAAGCGGATCAAATCGCAAAACCAACCGCCCTTCTGCGGCCTCTTTGCAGGCCTTGGCAGCACAAACGCAAATGACCGGCTGAACCCTTTTGACGGCTTCCTCAGTCTGCGTGGTGGTCGGGTCGTCGAAGACAAGCGGCTGCAGCGTCTCCTGTTCAGTCGCAAACGACGAATACAGTAATAGTTGCGACCCGGATCTCGCTGCGAACCATGTGAGCACCCTTGGCGGGCGCAAACAACAGAAATGGTTTAGCGACTGATGCCCAATTCTTCCCGGCGTGTGTGGATGCTAGTTGGGGCCTAATTACGAGTTTCAATCTCTGACGGCAACTCTTTGCAAACATCTGCATCTCCACGTCGCTGTCAAGTGTCAAAACTAGTTGTCGACAAATGACGACATGTCGGGGGTCACTCGAAACCAACACTTACAATGCTATCTCTGAACTGCGCGTCCCGTTTGACCGTTTGAGAGCAACCGCAAGCAAGGACGCAGCTGCGTTCTTCGAGGCAGCGCTTCATCTAACGCGCTGGCTCGATGTCTCAAGAATGATTGCCCAGGCGCTGGCTGCCTTCAAGGCGACATGCTTCGTAGAACTTGCAAACACGTGCTTTGGGGGGTCAGGGGTTGCCTTGATCGCTCGCGGTCCTCCTCCGCTTCAGGGAAGAGAGGCTTGGCACAGGCAAGCGTGGCCAAGTTCAAGCTCATACCCGTGCCACTGCTCGGCAAGCCGGCTTCCAGGCAAGCGCGCTCGTTGCCTGGCTCTGACAACGCTATCTGTTGGTGTGTACATGTGTGTGTTTTTGTGCTTCTGCCTGTGCGTTCGCACGTTCGCGCACGAGTGTTTTTGCGGTCGTCAATATGTTGGCATCTGTGTCTGGCATCTGTCTGTGTGTGTCTGTCTCATCGTCTATGCGTCTCCCTGTCTCTGCGGTTGTTCTGCGTTGTTGCGTTGCTTGAGTCGCCCTTCTCTGTCTTTCGGTTCGAGCGCGTGTTTCGTCCTAGCTCTGCCGCTGCTGCCGTGTTGGCCTGCGCGTGTGCGCAATGCGACTGCATGTGTGTGTGTCTCTCTCTGTCTCTCTCTCTCTCTCTCTCTCTCTCTCTCTCTCTCGCTCTCGCTCTCGCTCTCGCTCTCGCTCTCGCTCTCTCTCTCTCGCTCTCTCGCTCTCTCTCTCTCCCCTCTTGTCTGTCTGTCGGTCTGTCGGTCTGTCTCTCTGTGCATTCGATTGTTCGTGTGTGCGTGGTGGCTGTGTGGGCGTGTGCATGTGTGCGCGCCTGCGTGTTCGAGTGCGTGTGTGTTTGTGCGTGTGTTGCACGCGTGCGTATTGGTCTGTCTGTGTCTGCGTGTCTGTGTGTCTGCTCTGTGGCTCTGTGTCTCTTTGCCTGTGTCTGTGAGAGAGAGAGAGGGTGTGTGTCTTCGCGTCTGTGTCTGCGCGCTTCTGTCTGTCTGTGTTACTGTGTCGCTGCGGCGCCGTCTCTCCCTTCTCTGCGTTTTTGCCTGTGCGTTCACCGTGCGGTTCCATGTGTGCTCTCTCTCTCTCTCTCTCGCTCTCTCTCTCTCTCTCTCTCTCTCTCGCTCTCTCTCTCTCTCTCTCCCTCCCTCCCTCCTTCCTTCCCTCCTTCCCTCCTTCCCTCCTTCCCTCCCTCCTTCCCTCCTTCCCTCCTTCCCTCCTTCCTTCCTTCCCTCCTTCCTTCCTTCCCTCCTTCCCTCCTTCCCTCCTTCCCTCCCTCCCTCTCGCGGTCTCTGACGACAGAACCTACAACGCAGCGAATTCCTTGTCCAGCTAAGTTGCGCCTATGCGCCTTCGCATCACCTCCTACTTGTCTGGGCCAGTGCGGGCTTTGACATTTTTGAGTCATGTCCACAAACGTAAGGCGCGCCACCAACATGTGACGCAATGTTGCCAAGTTGTTTGTTCATAGCCACCCTATGTGTTTGTAAGCAACAATCTTCCAAACAAGAGGAAAACAAAGGCGCTCAACAAGTCCTGCCTCCATGGCGCAGCGCGTTTACAAGCGTGAGCCCTACGCAAGCTGCAAGCTGATTGTCTTGCCGTTATTTCTTCCTACTTCAATATGTGTTGTGATTCTGCTCCATTCTTGCTTTTCTTCTCTTTATCGTGCTTCTTTCGCTTTCCCTTACTCTTTCTCTTCTTTCTCGCTTGCATTGTCTCTTTTCTTCCTTTCTCCGAAATCTTGTGAAAAAGGCGTTCTAGGCAGCCAACTTAACGAGGTCTAAACAACGTAAACAAGGTCTTAACGAGGCGTGAACAAGGTCCACAGACTGGCCCTGACCAGCGCGGCCTGTTGGGACACAATCCTTCGTTGGGGGCGCTCGTGTGGCGGATGTGTGTGGGGGCTTGCAGGCTTGCGCGCATGTGTGCACGTGCGTGCGCGCGTGGGTCGGGCGTGCCTGTGTGTGCGCGCGCGACCCAACTCCCGTGTGTTAATTTTCTGCAATATCTCGGCCAGAAGCACTGAGCCGGGAGTGGGCCTCAACATTCACAAGCTGCCCTTCGCCAAACACGCCAAAAAGCATCCGGCCCCACATGACCCTTGGCTTGCGCTGACAGCAACATCTACATGAAACGAGCGTGCCCATGCGGTTTCTTTGAAAGTGACTTCATGCCATACATCTATCAATGACAGCATCATCATGACTCTAAACAGCTTTCCCCACCGGCACACCGCTTGCGGCACGAGATCATGGCTTGCGGGACTTGTAACCACACGGGTTGTATATGCGCTCGTGTGTGTGTGTGTGTGCCTCTGCCTACTTCTCTGTCTTTCTGTGTTTTGTGTTTGCGTGTGCGCATTTCGAATTGTTTGAGTGTGCTGGCACACGTGTGTGTCTGTGCGTCTGCGTCTTTATATCTGACGCCGATAGACTTGTGATCACCGCTGTGCAAGAAAGGCACCCTTAAGCTCGAAGTAGCCCTTGTCTGAGTCGATGAAGTCATCCCCGCTGGCACTCTGCACGAGCCACTTGCCCACTGCGCAAGATGAAGTTGAGCCCGGAAGCACGGTGCTCAGGAACCTGGGCTGAACTCTTGGCATTGCGTCAGTTCGCCTGGTAAACTGGTGCGTGGGAAACGCATGCCGTCTATGATGCTGACTCAAGTAGTGTTTGCATCCTGCCGCCCTGCCGAACTAGAAAAAACATCAGCTTATTGAAACAAAAACACATCACAGCTGGCGCATTACCTCAATTCAAAGCAGGCAAAGAAGTGGGTGGGGCCAGGAAGCATGACTTCTTGCTTGACGGCGCTGTCCTTGCGGTACACGGGGCCTCCTCGTTGGAAGTCATAGGTGACGGGGCAATAGTCGCCCGCCACAACCCACTCAGGATGTTTCAGGCGCAAGCATGTGTTCAAATCGCTGCAGTCTGTGACTTTTGCGAAAGCAGTCACCGGCGATCCTCCCTCATTCTGAATGCGCCAGTGCTTGCATTTGTCGTGAGCAAAGGTGAAATGGGAGCAGCGCTTTGACATACGGCAGTTGTTGCGGCAGGTGGCTTCGTCAAGGATGGTGATCTCATGAACCACTTGGCCCTGGATTGTCTCTGAGATCCAGCACATGCTATCCTTGATGCGGATCACCAGGGGTGTTTTGACTGGCTGGAAATCTGTGCCGGGGAAGGAACCCCACACACCGCAGCTCATCTGAACAGACTTCCGCTGTTGGCTGTTTGCCAGGATCTCGTCGAAGAGCTTAGCCATTGTGGCGGCTGGCGCGAGTGAGATAGTGCCGTCCGCCTGGATCTCCAAGATGGAGTGCTCCCCCAATAAGCCGACACCCCACACAGTGTCGAAGGACCAGGTGGGCGAAGGGCGTGGGCTGTTCCAATTGCCATCCACAACGCAAGACATGTGGAAAGAGCTCGGCTTGAGGCCGCCCATGCCCTCCTGAGGCTGCCGAACTGCAATGCGGCGCAATGCGGCTCTGTGCGACTGGACACGACTTGATGTGACTCGATGCTCGAAGCAACGCCCGCCTCGAAGCCGCTTGGCACCTGGAGCTTCATCGGGGGAAGCTCCTCACCCACCACCACCTCCACGTAGCTGGCCTCGTACGTGATGGCCGGCCAAGGCCGCGGCCTGATGGCCGCGAAGGTGGTGCTGCGCTTCACAAACCTAAGTTTGGCCGCGCGGCAACACGGTTTTCAGCCAAACTCTACAAAGTTCGTCCTGCGTGGAAGCAATATACAAACAAGCAACTCCTCATCCGTACTCTTATCGTTCGACTTCTGCAAGGCCGACACAACGCAAACAGCTCCATCCATACCCTTATACTCATTCTCACCCTCTTCTGTGTCTGTGACGGCACCAGCGATGCTCGTCGCAGACAAGGACACTTCACCAGCCGCGGAAATGGAGAGCCACGGGGCATCCGGAGCACAAATCATACTGAAGTCCTTGCGAGAGCAATCACGCGCACAAGTGCTTGGATCTGGATATTCTTGGCGCCCGCTACTGAACACAGGCCTAATTGCAGTCGACGAGTCGCCTCTTTACATGTCCCAGCTGAGCCTATTCTAGCCTGCAACCCGGTCCTTCCACTCAGAGGTTTCAGTGGCCACTGAGTACTTGGTGACCGTGTCGAAGATTAAGGCCCCCGAGCCGTAGGTCATACTGTCCACGATGACCGAAACCTTGACGGTTTCCTCCAAGCCCACGTCCTGGTGCGCAGTAACCTCGCACTGCACTGAGAAGGCTTTTGCAGGCTTCAACTTGTTGGCAGCGTAGGAAATTGCCCCAGTCTCGCCATCCAAGGTGAGGTTGTGCGCTGCCAAGGCGCAGTCCGAGTTCACGGAATACCGCGCGGCAGTGCGGGGCAGTGGCTTCAGCACTACATCCGCACCCACGACGAAGCGTGCGTCCGGGTACTGAAAGGGTGTGGGGCTCTTCACTCCACCGCCGCAAAGGCAGCAGGCTTGCTTGTTGCTCTGCCCGTTCACCGGCCGGTCATTACAGTCGGCTACCGTGAGGGCGTCGCAGGTTTGGTTCAGCTCGTTGGTCCAGCCGACGGTGCTGAGGCAGGAGACGCAGCGATTGGCCACAGTTACGAAGCCCCCGCGGCACTTCTCACACTTGCCAGAGTACTTGGCACAGCCAGCGCACTCCAAGGACTCCGTGGGGCAGCATGTGGTCTCCGAGGTGTTCACATGGTACGCCACCAAAGGAATGCCATTGCACGAGCTTGCGAGATTCCTCGCGGCACTGTACGGGACGGTGGCCCCAGAAATCAAATTGCCATGGTTGAGTATACATTGCTGCTCAAAAAACTATAGGGTCTCCGAGCGGCGGACACTGGCTATCAAATGGACGGCCAGAAACAAAGGAAACGGCATGAAAAGACGTGAGCAAGCGTTGAGCGAAGGTGAAACATCGTTGCCCAACTTGTGAGGCCCTAAGGTCTCGCAGCCCCGCTCGCAACTCAGAGTCCTGGCCACCAGCATCTCGTTCCGGATGTGTTGGATCTTCTCCGCGGCGGCCAGCGGCGTGGGAGGCTGCTTTCGGCGCTGGCATCGAGGCGCCAGAGTCTTGGACTGGTTCTGCAGCCATGCGAAGCTTGGCGCAGAATCGTATGACCCAGTCAACCTTGCAGCTTCAGAGCATTGAAAGTGCACACGTCGCCCTGCGCACCCCTGCGCTAAGATCAGCCAAGCAGCCCATCGGAGAACTGGATCCGCCCAGACCCTGCAAAGCGCCTGGACTGGAGCAATGCTGGGCTGCTGGCTTCGGCTGGCTCATCACACTTTGGCTCCGCGTGGCTGCCTGACGACAACCAAAAAAGAGCCGCGGTTGAAAGGAGATGCCCCCAAAGGGGCATGAGCGGTAATGGCGCAATAGGTCGATGCCCTCTGTCAGGCAGAGATCATGAACCGTAACTTGAGCCAATGGCTTTCAGCCACGAATGAGAGTAGTCCAACCAAGTGTCCACACAATATGGTGCAAACTTCCAGAATGTCACGGTGGGACATGAAACTGTCACGATCCATTCAAACAAGGTCAAACCATATCAAATTATGCCTTGATACTCTTTGCTCAAGCAAGCAACAGCCTCATGCTTCTGGGTCAGCTCAGCATACTCTGTAAACCAATGAAGTTGCAGTGATTCTGCCTAGTTCTGCAAGTTCTTGAACTCAAGTAGGACATTTATGACGTTTCTAGCAAAGCCAAAAGGATTGTCACTGCCAAAGAACCTCAGGTGCCATTTAGGTCAATGCCTCTGAAGCGTTCATGCTCCTGGCGAAGATCAACAGAAACGTAAATCATCAGAGAGGTACCTTGCCAATGTGCTATGAGAGCTATATGGCCTCCATGTTTGATGGCCAGATTTGCACTCTGCTTGGTGACTTCCTCCGTATCCATAAGCCAGTTCTGTGTGTGTGTGTCTTGGTGACTGACTTACTGTCGGCATGCCAACATGTCGCTCATGCCCAGCCGGCCGGCCAATCCGGATATGGCCGGATGAAACACTGTGATTAAATGTGATAAAGAAGGGCCAAAGATCGGATAACATGCATGGGTTTCAAACCGCATTGCTGGAAGCTCGCAAAAACGGTGCGGAGCAGCTGACCAAAGCAGGACAACTCCACATTCACAAGGAGCCGCGCCAGATACTCAAATCGTTTCAAATCCCTCACATGTGGCACCTCCCCATCGCACTCAAGTTTGCAGCATGTCCGCACCTGCACTGGCGGGAAACCCACGAATGCCCTTCCATTGCCAATTGTGCGACGAGTTTGGTGCAGGTCACAAATGGAATAAGCGTGTCGTTCTCGGACCTCCATCAATGAAACGATAATCCTGATCCAGTGGCTGCATTTGGATCCTACTGTCCAGCGTCTCCCAAATTGTTGGCCTATGTATTCTGCGCGAATATATACCTCAGTTCGCCCATTATAGCACCATGTCGTGACTGAATGCTTGCCTTCATGTGGATTGAAAGGGTTTCTCAGAACGCTTGCTTGAGCATAACACATGCAAGGCAGATTCGCGGACGCGCAAAGTTCTGGGACCACTGTCTAGACCAAGAGACGTCCGGCTATTGATTGGGTGTCGGCCCGTTGGTTTGGACAAAATCAAAAAGACTAAGGCACAGGGAAAAAGCTGCATCCCCTTCTGAAGCTTCAGGTGCACTGTTTCGACGAACATGCGATGCAATTTGAGGGCCTGAAGTCCAATGTTTTACGCTGCTCATGACAATTTCCTGGCCAGCATGTTATCTCTGTGATTTGACTGGCAGACCCCTCCGAAGGCGCAATCCACAAGCTGGCCGAGAAGAAGCAAGGATACTTGGCACAATGCCATCGATTTGCTCCGCAATGCGCGCAATGCAGAATCCCAAAGTCCAAGGTGCTTGCAACGGTTGCGAGCACCTGCAGGAGTGGACATGCTCAGCAAGATCGCTGCGTGTGAAAGCAGCGCGTTCATTAACAGTGCCGCGATGAGATCAAAATGGCAGCTCCATCCTTGGAAGGCATGTCTTGTTCGGATTTGCAAGACAGCGTCTGGATGATCAAGGCATCCATGTGTTCGTGTGGGATTTGATTGCATTGGACATGTTCACATACGCATTCGCAATCACATACGCACAAACAAGCAGTGCGGGTCATAAACATCAACATGCCCAATCATGTAGCTGGCATAACATCAGCATCAACCAGGCAGGACCATCATTGCTCACCTTTCTTCAAGGCTTCTTGGTGTACAACAACTGCTGCAGCGCCAGTCTCCTAACTTTGGAGTTTGTTCCCTCTGAGATCCAAGCTCAACTTCTCGAAGCCCAGATTCGCCTGACGCGGTTTTCGGCAGGAAACCAATGCAAACCAATCGTAGGAACACCCAAAATGAACGTCTGATAACGACTGTCCTGGAAAACTCTTTGGGCGGCTCAGGGTTCAACTTTGTCAACACCTCCAATGTTCTGCTAAAACCGGAAGCTTCAAGGGCTGTGACATATCGAACATGTCTTGGCTGTACTCGGCCAATCACCAGTTAGCCGCCAAGAAGCGCTGTCGCGCTTCCCTGATCCCACCTGGCACATTCAGCTGACATATGCATGGGCATTCATTCCGGGCACAGAAATATTCCTCCTGCCGAGGCAAACCCTGCAACATGCGAGGAGGCCTTGGATGATGGAAAAGGCTTAAAGAACCTCGTTGCACGTGTTTTAAACCCAAGAACAATGTGCAATGGAAACAGAACTGGTGCTCGCCCATTCATGCGCAAATGCGTTGAACAGGCTGAGTCAGAGCGATGTTTTCAGGGCACCTTGCGCCAAACACCAAGGTGCTCTGTCGACTTTGTCTCGGAACGCGTGGCACGTCCTGCCTGGCGGCCGGCCTGCACGGGGGAAATGCCCACTTCATCTAACGCCATACCGCCGCTCCAAATTTTCCACCGGTAGGGCAAGGAATGAAAAAACCCGCAGCCACATGAACTAACGCTTGTTTTTCAGTATTGACTGTATTGACGGCAATGTCACTGCACAAATCAATAGTTCTGCCATTCTGGCCTGCAATGGTATTCCTACAACTGTGCTGATGCCAATTTACGTATTCAAGCAGCACCATCCGGGGCTTTCCGGCCGAGCACAAGGAAAATCATGCCAGTTGCATTCGTTTGTTGCGCCAAAAGCAGAACGAGTGCTTCAATGTATTGGGCTGTACTTTAGCTTGGCGTATTCCGAAGGCCTGTGGCATTGCACTATGCGCAGGGGGATGGTCTGGGTAGGAGGTGTCTAAGGGCTCCAGGCTCATGCTGGAGAATGGCTTTGCATAGCTTGAGCTTTAAACGTGAAAACTTCACGTACGGCAATGGCAAAGCAAGCTGACAGAAGCTGCCAAGAGATGATGTGATACAAATGACAAATTTCTCCCCCTAACTCGCCAATGCCTTGCTCCAAGCGGCTCTGACCTTACGCCAAGGCCACATTCATCTGGCCGCTGGCATCCGCTGGCCCTATGTTTGCAGTCCGTACGCTTTGCTTCCTACACATGCCGCCCTCCCACAGGTCGGGCCGCATAGCGTCCAAGTGACACGCTCAGCTTGAGCCAGCTCACTTACTTACCCATCTTCTGATTCAAGAGCTTGAGCTCGTCCCGAATCTCCTGAGCTGGTTGCAAGAATGGACAAGCTGTCATAGCATCACCAACCTCTCTTGCAACCAGTTTTATGTTTGTGCAGTGCTTAACCTGTTGCCTGCTTCAGTTACCCATATCCCATCATATCCCTGATCGGAACAATTCATGGGGCATGCAGCATGCTCCAATCTATCGTGTTGCAACAAAACGTTTGACTGAGGTCAGAGCAGTAAGGAGACTGATGTGCATGTCCATCTGTCCTGATCTAAGAGCAGCCCTTTCCAAATAGCGCTTGACAAATAGTTTAGCCATACTTTGTGTCAAGCTTACTATTGAGGAGCAGTTGTTTGGGATCTGGCTGCTAGAAAGGGTTAAGAAACATTGAACATGCCTACGTGAATGCCTACTTGGGCCCTACGAGAAAATTGTAGAAGCAGGAAGCAAGACAAAATAAGGGAACATGTTTGTCCTTGGGAACCAACATTGAATCGTGTTTCGAAGAAATGGCAAGGCGAAAAGTCTACACGAGGTGTGAACCAATATATAGATGCCAATAGTCTACGAAGCAGTTCCCTTCTTGTATAGAGCGAAAACAAAAACAAATCGTCTGATGAAACAAACGCTCCTCACTTCGGTTGACTCTGCACGGGAGCTTTGAGGGGAATAGCGTCTTCCTATATGTTCATTGGGACGGTTTCATGAGATCACACATTCTTGGCTCGCATCTCTTTGAATTAGCTTGACATCCTCGCAAAACTTAGATGTTTCCTCCATCAGCCGAAATCTGCGCTGCGGCGTTCACTTTACAGGTACTGTGCACTTTGCATGGAAATTTGAACGGAACCACATTCCCTCCAAATCGCCTATGCGAGGAAAGCTCGGATTCCAGAGGGAAGCTGTGCGCTCCTGGAGCGTTGCTGCGTTGCGCCGTCACGTGAGCACCGGCATTTGTCACCCGCCGCTTCATGCCCCAGACCTCACGGCTCCGGACAGGTGGCTTGCGCAGCTCAAAAGCTCGACCACACAAAAGCTCGACAGGTTGTTGGCCAAAAGGTCAATCGTTCAAACCTGCCCAAAGTGCAGCCTTAGCCAGGTGAACGTGCTTCTATGAATGCTCACACCGATCCTGTTCTCAACCGATTTTTAGACACTGAATGTTGGAAGGCATCTACAAAATATTCTGGGCTTTCGGATTCTTGATTCCTGAGCCACTCGGCCCCCAGGGCCCCAACCCACTCAAGACTTGGTGCCTCTAGACAAGGTGCTGAATGCTTGAAAGCTTGCGCGTCCACCAGGCCATGTAATTCAAGCTCATGCCGCACCTCATGTGTGCAAAAGCGGAATGAACAAATCTATGCTTCATGGAAATCTCCATCAGGCACAAATACGCCGCCACGAACTCACCATCCAAAGGATCGCGCTGCATCCAAGTTCAATCATGCCAGTTCTTTGCAGTGTTGCGCTGGAGGTGTGTACGTTGTGCAGCAATCAATGCTTATACTGTGTCTCAGGGACTGGCGCCACCCTCACCACCAACACCGCTGGATGCTGTGTCGACGTGAACCTTCGACAGCACGTTCCTTGCTGCTTGCATTCTCCGCAGAAACAAGGAGACGTGTTTTTATGGCAACGCCCCACAGCCTTATTAATCTTTCGCAAACATGTATTCTCTTAATTAAGTCTCAATCAGATCTGGAAGGTATGCTTCCAGCATCCTTCAGCAACTATTGTGCTACGTGGTTCAGCTGAAGACATCAACCCACCTCCCAGCCAAGCTGTCAAACAAACGTTGTTGTTGGCCTCTACTTCGCCGGCAACAAGCCTGCATTTTTCACAGAAATGTCGAATTGGAAACAGTTGAAACCCAATGACAAGTTCCACAAACTAACGTTACCAGATTCTTCTCAGCCAAACACAAATCTGTGCTGCAGGCAAGTCTCGGAATACAACAGCAACACGCTGTTCCAGCGGGTTCCTCAGCAAAAAGGGCAGTTCAACAAACAAATGTTTGGCATTTGCATCCTCTTTATCAACATGGTAATTACGAGCAAATCTCGCACAGAAAAAGGTCAAACAATCAGAGCTGGCTTAAGGCAACAAACAGTCTCCTGGTGAAAACGGCTTTTGTTTGTCTGTCCCTGCACAAGTGTCCATCACGTCACAGTCCGTAATCTTGTCATACGGCACAGTCTTGCTTTCGCGGCCCTTGTCGGTGCATGGCAGGCCGCACATTGATTTCCGCTTTTCCTTCACAAACCTGACGGGCATGCCGTGAAGATAGTGGGGTAAGTTGTCCATGCCGTGCAAATAGTTCATCCTGCAACAGTCCCACAACCACAGGCAAAGCTTTCGGTAAGCGCCTGATGCCGTCTACGGTCAGCGCTACGTGCTGCGACCTCACCTCCCACTCCACGTTTTGCTGCAGGAAGCACGGGTAGCAGCAGGCCACCGAGAACCAGGCCGGAGGGAGAAACAGCAGCTGGGCCCATCTCCTAATTGTGTTGGACGTATTGGACCCCATGCAGCAATCTGAACGGGGATTACAAACCAACACGCAAAAACAAGCAGCATCAATTGTTAAACAAAAACCTGAATCTTCTGGACAAACCGAGCTTGAAGCCTCTGTGTTCATTTACAAAAACAAGCAAACTATCACTTGAACTGTGCCCAACAAGCTATCCGCATCCGCATTTATTGTTCATGCCATTCTGGCACATTGTTGTCAAACACTTGATACACACAACGGTCAACACAATCGGCAACCTCCATCACGTTTGCTCAGGCTAAACACTCACCGCGATTCGTGGATGAATGGCATGTCGCAAATCAAAACCAGTAGAATGCAACATCTGCACTTGGCAATGGGAATCCGAAACTTGAGCAACAGGCGCCTGCCAAGGAGTGGCTCAAGTTGGACATTGGTTTCTTCTCAGTTTTGGAACAACCATGCAATACCTTTACTTGCTTGACATACCGGGCCACTAAGGCAGCTCAGGCACAAATTTGTCGTAAAGTTGATGATCGTCTCCTTGGCTAAGCTGCAGCCAAGGTCCAAAAAAAAACATCCAAAATTTAAAATAACCATGAGCTCTGGAGTTTCTTTGGAGGCGGACGGTCCCTGACAGGTCTGGCTCAGTTTCATGGCCAGTTGCGGGTGAATACACAATCCAAAACTGACGTACAAGGAAAAGGTTGCTGGCCAGAAGTTTTAGTTCAGCCGAATCAGCACCATGTTGGACTCAAACATGGTTTGTCCCATTTGTCCACTCTGGATGCTGTAAGCCTGTACGCGATGCGATTTGCTCTGCGGGCGCCAAAAAACCACTCCAAAATAGTCCATATAAACATTGTGCAAACACATCGGGCGCTTTTAGGTGTACAAGTCGATCTGGACGGCTAAGCCACGTGCGTGTTCCAATCTAACGCTGCGCCTGGAGTATGCCTCCCAATATTCACCTAAGCACAGCAGCACACCCACCATTTCATTCAAAAAGCACCTGACAATGAAACTTCCGGAGAGGTCCGAGGTCAGAGGCGTCCGAGGTCCGAGGCCCGAGGCCCGCGTCACTGTGGTTGCGGTTGCGGTTGCGGCCGCGGCTGCGGTTGGGGTGGTTGGGGTGGTTGGGGTGGTTGCTGTTGTCGCTGTTGTCGCTGTTGTCGCTGTTGTCGTTGTTGTCGTTGTTGTCGTTGTTGTCGTTGTCGTTGTCGTCGTCGTGGTCGTGGTCGTGGTCGTGGTCGTGGTCGTGGTGGTGGTTGTGGTTGTGGATGTGGTTGTGGTTGTGGTTGTGGTTGTGGTTGTGGTTGTGGTTGTGGCTGTGGTCGTGGTCGTGGTTGTTGTTGTTGTGGTTGTTGTGGGTGTTGTTGTTGTTGTTGTTGTTGTTGTTGTTGTTGTTGTTGTTGTTGTTGTTGTTGTTGTTGTTGTTGTTGTTGTTGTTGTTGTTGTTGTTGTTGTTGTTGTTGTTGTTGTTGTTGTTGTTGTTGTTGTTGTTGTTGTTGTTGTTGTTGTTGTTGTTGTTGTTGTGTTGTTGTGTTGTTGTGTTGTTGTTTGTTGTGTTGTTGTGTTGTTGTGTTGTTGTTTGTTGTGTTGTTGTGTTGTTGCTGTTGCTGTTGCTGTTGCTGTTGCTGTTGCTGTTGCTGTTGCTGTTGCTGTTGTTGTTGTTGTTGTTGTTGTTGTTGTTTGCTTTGCTGTTGCTGTTGTGTTGTTGTTGTTGTTGTTGTTGTTGTTGTTGTTGTTGTTGTTGTTGTTGTTGTTGTTGTTGTTGTTGTCTTGTTGTTGTTGGTGGTGGTGGTGGTGTTGTTGTTGTTGCGGTTGGTTGTTGTTGTCGTCGTGGTGGTGGTGTTGGTGTTGGTGTTGTCGTCGTCGTTTGGTTGTAGTTGAAATACCAGGATTCAAGTGAATCAAGAACGCCCAGTACTATGGCAGCACGATGCAAACGCAAGTCCTTTTTCCTTGAGCGAAAATGGTGGCAAATACAGATCTCACGAACCATACCCGAAGAGGAAGTTAAAAGGAACAGAACCCCAAGGCGGGGTTGTTCAACTCCCCCCTCTTGTGATTTGAGTTGGTGCAGACCGGGTCGCAGCAAAGGGTGATTTCATCCCTTGCTAGAATGATTGCATCAACTTAGAAAGGCGACCAAAAGACAATTCTCGAATTAATGACGCGGATTGAATTAGTAATCCAGGCAAAAGGCACCATCTCAAGTTGCTGGCTGATGCGCGTCAGTGGCAAAACAGCATGTCAAGAATTGAGACGCAGGCGCACAAAAGCCATGACGACGCACGGCACTCAAGCGGGAACAACAAAGCTCACCGCCAAATGCTGCACAGATTTATTTAGGCTAAGATATTCAAACCCTAGTGGCACATTTTGCACTCAATTATGCTTGTCAAGGGATTTGCAAATGCTCAAGTGCGGCATGCCGGTCATCCCATAAGGACACCGGTTTTAGGGCATGAATGCCCCCTGATTCCAAGCACACAAAAGTTTCTTTTCTGCAATGCGAACCTGGTGAAAGCCAAGCATTGTCATGCAATTGACTTCACGTGAAACCTAATTGTGCTCACTTTGTGGCGTGAGGCGGTCTGACACGGTGCCAATGCATGAGTTGATGACGGAATGCCCTGAGAACCCAAGCCCTTGCTGGAAGCCAAATGCCTCCCGGCGCATGTGCCCCCGCTCTACGGTGACAACATTAGCGGCTTGAGACACGCCCGCCATGGCGGATGCAATCATAGCCACCGCAAATGTTGGCATCGCTGCTGCAGGCTTAGCACTTGGCTTGACGCCAGTCTTGACATGAGCATACTCGCACTTTCCCCATGATGACATCCGCTATCCATTTGAAAGAAAATGCAAGGCTTGTTGGCTTTAGTCAAGGGCGTGCCTTTCTTCCTTCTTCTTTGACGGGCTCTCATCCCGCCTGAAGGCCTGGAGGCCAAAGGGCAAGGAAGGAGGCGACCCTGCTCCCTTCAGAGTAGGCGCTGGCGGCGATGAGGTCTTTGGAGCTGGGGCCAAAGGCCTTGACACCAGGGGAAAGGGGAAATCTTACAAAGGTGGTCCTGAACATTCTTGGCATTAAGATCTGCACGCTTGTAACCAAGGGTATCCTCGTACTGTCCTTTTGGGCAGTCCGTTCAAGCTTTCTGAAATTCCTGACCCATTCGCCTAGGAGGCAATGTGATGGGAGCTCATCGCTGGGAACGGCTGACATGGTCTGCACAACTTTGCTGAACAAACCCCAAGACCCGCGGGCTGTAAGGAAAGCAAGGCAGATGCAGTAAGCATTGAACCTCGTGCTCTATCCAAGTCAAAATGCTTAGCAATCGTTGCGAGGACGAACCACAGGGCGCCTTTCCATCACGTGTGCATCTTTCAATGTAGCCATTCACCTTGACATCAATGTCAGGCACAACTCTCAAACACCTTGTGAAGTTCAACTCGGAAGCAAGCCACCTATCAAAGCGAGGGAAACCGTCACTTGTCTCATCAAGGTGGTTGAGATCTCCAGAAAATGACTTGTTGATCCACATTGCGATGGCATCGGTCCCACTGATGTCGCACTTGGCGCAGGACAGAATGAGTGCATTCTTCCATGAGCGGAAGGCCGCAGCATTGTCTGGAATTGGCTCAATCTTCAAATGTTGAAGGGCCTTTGAATCATTCAATCAATGTTGTATTTTGGCTACTGGTTCCAATTGCGTTGACACGATCTGATGGCTTCCAGGATCTGAGCAACATGAGAACCGTCTGCCAAAGGTTCGTGGGTATCCTCGACCGGTTCAACAGGCGTTGGGGCCTCTACTGAGGGAGTAGCAATCGAGTACACTTCAGCCGAGTTGCCCCCTGAGCATCCACGGCGCGTGACGCAGCCAGAGCCGGGAGATGCTGGCACTCTCAGCAGCTTGGCGTGCATGATGGAGCGTGCTTTCTACTGCTAGTGGATCGACACCGACGTTCACTTGCGCATTGACAGCTTGGAAGATATTCTGCTGAGTATTTACTTGATCAAAGCTGACAGGCTGCTGGGACTCATCCCTGGTCAAGTGCCACTGCTGCACGCGAGCTCACGGTTGATTGGCAACATCCTGATCAGGGGTTGCAACAGGGGGATCGACGACATCTGTTTTTGGATTCCCGATTTCCATACGTTCTCCCTGAGCGGTTTTTACTGGATGACCTATTTGCCCCTGGCATACCTAGCACTGACCGTGAGCTACTTGACAGCTCCAACCTAAATCAGCTTAGTCACGTGGCAAGGCCAACGCAGAGTGGCAGATGATGATGATGATCGTGCACCTAGAGGACTGGGCCGCAGACACACAAAGCGCACTTTTGGCACGGCGATGCAAGGCAAACGCCTGCTGCTGTAAATTGCAAACTGTCCAAAAGTGCTGATTGCACTCCGCAACTCAAGTGATTCAAAAGGTTGCAAGTGAAATGATCGGGCAGCGTGCGGACGCTCGCCGACGAGGCACAGAGATGCCAACTCCAGTGAATCGGTAATGAGCAACTGCTTCTGTCAGCACTTCAGTGGAATCGTCAACGATGATGATACGAGCTGCAGGGTAGATCAAAGAAAGGCTAAAGCGCTTCCCAGGTGGATCTTGGCCTTTGCGCTCTGCTGATCTCCCTTGGCGCAAGCCATTGCCACCGCCTACACATCCTCCGCCTGCTGACGTTTGCGATACTGATTTACACCATACTGCTTCTGGTTCTACCGACCAAGGCCCAGCAAGTCTCGCAGGTTGATTGTTGGACAAGAGCAAGAGCAGCCGTGAACCTTTGCAATCAGCACCGACATCATCAAATTCCGCACTGTCCCTTTGAAGTAAGCGACCTGACTCTGGACCTCGTCTTCATGAGCGGCCGCCGCAAAACTCAGGAAGGCTGGTGCAGAGATCGAACCGTTTGTCGACCACAACGCATCGACTGTGATAGTGTTTGACTGGCGCCAAGTTTTAGACGTGGTGAGAGTTTGAGGCCAGATATCTGGGTGGATAGAAGAAGGCAGAGTTCATTTACCGTTGGCAAGTATTGCATCATTGGAGTCGATCAAGCAACAGGTTTTGCTCCTGCGCCCCACCTGCCCGCAGAGGCAACTGGAATTACAAGCAATTGGCGCTGGCTCTGTCACAGTACTCACAACTTTGATTTTGACGCCGTGCGCATTACACCTCTAAGAGGTTCTGACAAAACAGAGCTAGAAGATGCAGCAGTGTCCAGATTCCTCGTAGAGCAGGATTCACAACGCACAGTGTCTCCAACAGGCTCTGCCGAACAGCTAAATATTCGTCCTCCCGATCTCTTCACTCTCAGGAGAAGGTGTCGCAGGATGTCCCAGAGGCCGATCCGAACCACCAGAATGCCTCACAGGAATCGAACCACGCTCCTTGCCTTGGGCAACTCGAAAATTCAAGTATGCCTCTCTCCGGCGCCTAGCTGCTGCACCAGCACGAATCCCACGGCGCCTTGCGCCATCGTCCGTCGTGACAATATGAGGACTTCGGTCTGGTAGCCGTTGAGCCGCGCTGATACCAGGATTCAAGTGAATCAAGAATGCAAACGCAAGCCCCTTCTCCTTGAGCCAAAACGGCAAGAGGATCACTTACGCACTCCAAAACGGCTCACTTGGGCACCCCAGATCACTTGAGCACCCCAAGAGTTTTTTTCCAATCAAAATTGCATCACTTACACACCCCAAAACGCAACATGTTGAGGTGAAGTGCATTTGTGTGCCCAAAAAAGGATCGCTGAGGCACTTTCTCAGTTGGGCACCACAATTTGGAAACTAGTTCTATCATTGGTGTCAACGCTTCTCACCTTCATGATGGGGGGGAGGGGCGATCAGGGCATCTTCTTCAGGAAGTCAACGCGTCACTTTAAGGTTTCTGCTGCGCCTGTCGATTCTTCAGGGCATCTTCTTCAGGTTGTCAACACATCACTTTAGGGTTTCTGCTGCGCCTGTCACTTCTTCAGGCAGTCAACACATCACTCTAGGGTTTCTGCTGCGCCTGTCACTTCTTCAGGTAGTCAACACAGCGCTTTACGGTTTCTGCTGCGCCTCTTGCTTCTTGAGGAAGTCGACACATCACTTTAGGGTTTCTGCTGCGCCTGTCACTTCTTCAGGTCGTCAACGCATCACTCTAGGGTTTCTGCTGCGCCTGTCACTTCTTCAGGTTGTCAACACATGACTTTGGGTTTTTTCTGCGCCTGGCACTTCTTCAGGTCGTCAACACATCATTCGGGGTTCTGCTGCGCCTGTCACTTCTTCAGGTAGTCAACACATCACTTTAGGGCTTCTGCTGCGCCTGTCACTTCTGCAGGTAGTCAACATTACTTTAGGGTTTCTGCTGCGCCTGTCACTTCTTCAGGTAGTGAACACATCACTTTAGGGTTTTTGCTGCGCCTGTCACTTTTGCAGGTAGTCAACAAACACACCACTCTAGGGTTTCTGCTGCGCCTGTCGCTTCTGCAGGTAGTCAACACATCACTTTAGGGTTTCTGCTGCGCCTGTGACTTCTGCAGGAAAACAACACATCACTTTAGGGTTTCACTTCTGCGGGTAGTCAACACATCACTTTAAGGTTTCTGCTGCGCCTGTCACTTCTGCAGGTAGTCAACACATCGCTTTAGGGTTTCTGCTGCGCCTGTCACTTCTTCAGGTAGTCAACACATCACTTTAGGGTTTCTGCTGCGCCTGTCACCTCTTCAGGGCATCTTCTTCAGGTAGTCAACACATCACTTTAAGGTTTCCGCTGCGCCTGTCACTTCTTCAGGTAGGCAACACATCACTCTAGGGTTTCTGCTGCGCCCGTCACTTCTTCAGGTAGTCAACACATCACTCTAGGGTTTCTGCTGCGCCTGTCACTTCTTCAGGTAGTCAACACATCACTTTAGGGTTTCTGCTGCGCCTGTCACTTCTTTAGGTACTCAACACATCACTGCTGCGCCTCTCGCTTCTTCAGGTAGTCAACACATCACTTTAGGGTTTCTGCTGCGCCTGTCACTTCTTCAGGTCAACGCATCACTCTAGGGTTTCTGCTGCGCCTGTCACTTCTTCAGGTAGTCAATCACATCACTTTAGGGTTTCTGCTGCGCCTGTCACTTCTTCAGGTCGTCAACACATCACTTTAAGGTTTCTGCGCCTGTCACTTCTTCAGGTAGTCAACACATCACTTTAGGGTTTCTGCTGCGCCTGTCACTTCTGCAGGTTCAACACATCACTTTAGGGTTTCTGCTGCGCCTGTCACTTCTGCAGATAGTCGACACATCACTTTGGGGTTTCTGCTGCGCCTGTCACTTCTTCAGGTAGTCAACACATCACTTTAGGGTTTCTGCTGCGCCTGTCACTTCTGCAGGTAGTCAACACATCGCTTTAGGGTTTCTGCTGCGCCTGTCACTTCTTCAGGTAGTCAACACATCACTCTAGGGTGTCTGCTGCGCCTGCCACTTTCACAGCACATATCGCTTCAGGGATTTACGGCTTTAGCCTGCATTTGCTTCCTGCGGCGGAGCTGCCGTTGGCGTGTTCCCATGCTGGAAGGGGGTTCCCCCACTGACAACCCGCTGGGACACATACAGATCATGAACCACCATGATACCCAAGAAAGGTTGCCCCGAAATACGCCCGGGTCACTCGCGCACCCCACCTGCAATCACTTGGGCACTCCGCCGGCCAAAATGGACCGCGGATTATTTACGCATCCCTTGCGCAGCCCATGCCCAAAACGCAGGGAAAAGTGCATTTCGACCGCCGGCCCCTTGGCCCGACAACCCCAAGAAACGGATCACTCGGGCACCTCGCGGGGCGCTCAAGCGATCCAAAACGGGGCGCCTAAGCGAGCCGTTTTCGGGGCGCCTAAGCGAACCCGCGCCCCTTTTCCTTGTGCCAGAATGGTGGCAAACACACATCTCACGCACCATACCTGAAGAGGAAGTTAAAAGGAAAACAACCCCATGAAAGGCGTGTTTGTTCAACTGTTGTTGTTGTTGTTGTTGTTGCTGTTGTTTGTTTGTTCGTTTGTTCGTTCGTTCGTTTGTTCGTCTGTTGTTTGTTGTTTGCTGGTTGTTTGTTGTTTGTTGTTTGTTGTCTGTTTGCTTGTTGTTGTTGTTGTTGTGCTTGTTGGTTGTTCGTGTTTTTGTTGGCTGTTGTTGTGGTTGTTGGCCGTTGGTTGTGAGTTGCTCGTTGGTTGTTGTTTGTTGTTTGCTGGTTGTTGTTTGTTTGTTGTTTGTCTGTTGGTTCGTTTGTTGTTTGTCGCTTTGTTTGTCGCTTGTTGTTCGCCGCTTGATGTCTGCAGTTGTTGGTTGTTGTTGGTCGTTGTTGTCGTTGGTGCTGCTGGCGTTGTTGTTGTTGTTGCTGCTGCTGCTGCTGTTGGCGTTGCGGTTGTTGTTGTGGTTGTGGCTTTTGCTGTTGTCGCCGCCGGCGTTGGTGTTGACTCTTGCCGCCGCTGGAATGGGAACAAGGCTTTGGCGACGACACACACGTTGCCAGCTGCCTGGGCTATCTCATCATAGGTCAAGTCGTTAAAGTACTAACCTCCTCCAAGAGCAAGTTCTGCAACTCCTGCTCAGACAGCCCGTCCGGAGGTATCTTGTTGCGTACAGAAGCTAACGCATCGCTCTTCCCAGCCCAAACCTCTGCGGCCATAGAAAGTGCCCTTGTTCTGAACGGGCCTCGCGACTGTGCGTCTGGATCGGACCGTCGCTTCGCCTGCTTGCGCTGCCGCGAGTTGCTGCGGTCTTCAGGCTGTCAAAGTAGCGCGGCAGAGCCAAAGCACCATAACCAAGGAGATGGCGATCGACACATGTACATACACCGCACTCTGGCCTGACATCTGCCTTGGTCTGGCCAGGCGGTTTCTTCGCGCAGCCATGCCAACATTCAGGAAGTGATCATGGCGTTTTCAGGCCTCACTACTGCGTATGACCACAGCATGGCTATGACTCTGACAGCTGACCGCCAATTTTTCAATTGCTGCGCGCTCCCTAGGCAGCTGCCACCCGGACCGCGGACAAGGTGCCGTCATAGCTGCCTGCACTTTTTTTGCGGCTGATTTTTTGCGCACCTTGCCAGAAGGTTTGCCATTCTTCGCAGCTGCACATGTTTGTAAAGTCAGAACATTGAGCGAGTCTAGCGTCACAAAAACCCTACGCGAGCACACGACAGTAGAGCTGCCTGGCGAGCTGAGGCGAGGGGTTTTGTCACTGCCGCTCATAGTTGCGCGTAGACAAGAATGTAGACATGACTCAAGGTTCCCCGGTCCAAGAGTGCTGCGCAAACGTTGCAACCCAGGGCTCGAAGTTCCAGGAAGGCTCGCTGAGCATGGATCCTGCTCTTGGCCTCCATGTCTCCAACTGGCTGGAGCGCGATCGTCTAGGGGACCAGTGCGCAGGCCAAACATGGCTGTGGGCCCGTGAAAAGCCAGTCACTCCCATCAGTAAAAACCGTTCCCTCGCCCCGAGTATGAAGAGCTTGGTCTGGGGCTCAAACCTGGGCCCGTGCGCCTCGAGCCTGCGCGCAGCTGCGCTCCTGGCACAGCTACGCGGATAAGCACTCAAGAAGATGGAGCGTAAAGCTGCTCGACGAGGCTTGGGTCAACGCGCACAAGCCGGAAAAATCGCCAGGCGCTGCTACTGCGTGAGAGACTTCAAGAAACGCGCAGTGCCTCCAACGCATCCAAATCAAGGGTCTGTGATGAACGATTGGCAGGTCCCCGCCACGGCCCACACGAAATAGGTTGCTAATAGAATGGCTATCTCGCTGAATGGGTGCGGCAACGTTCCACTATTGTGATTCTCCACCATCCACGCGCTGCGTTGTGTGGCGGGACGCGCTCTCACTCACCTCCAGAAGTGACCTGTTGCGGGCGCGCTTGTGTTGAGGTAGATGGGCCCTCGTGTCGCCCTGCCCCAACTCCAGTTGCAGCTGCACGCTGGGCCCCACCCATGACTCGTGCAGACGAAGCAGCCCCTACAAAAGGGTCTTACGCTCCGCGCTGCCTCCCCGCCTTCTGCTCGACTCAAATGGGCTGTTTAATTTTGCCCATGTGCACACTATGGCTCTGCTTGCGTTCTGTCATAAATCCTTGCGTAACCCCCGACAAAAACGGGTCCTCTTATACAAAATCTGTTTCCCTACCCGGAAGATTGCCTCCACCTGCTTCACCCCTGTTAGCTACCCGCGCGGAAACATCCCAACGAAACGGCGAAAACTCCGGGTGAAAATGGGGAAGCCGAAATTGGCGGCCACGAGGTGACGGCCACGGGGGCTGATGTCGAAATCCCATAAAACACGCTGGATAAAAAAAAACAAGCCAACTACAGGGAAGTTAACATTGCAACTTCATATCAACCGATCAGCAGCGTACATCGAACCGCCGAAACCAAATTACCGCATCACGCTGACTGCCAGGAAACCGAAGAAACATGTTCCCACGACGCAGCAGTCAGTCCGAGCATCGTAATCGAAATCAAAAGGCGCGATGAGATTTGGCTCCTGGGCGAAGTACAAGTCCCTTGCTGCAGGCGCCACATAATCTCCCTCCACACCCAGCGGTGTGATCTCTGTCTCCTGATTCAACCAGCAGAACAACACTCCTCTTGCTGGTGCCACGGTTGCAAATGCGCTGACAACACTTGATGGCCACTGCTCACTTGAACTAGC